TTTGCATGTATTAACTCATCATTAAAACAATCCTAAGTAGGATGTATTAATACTATCACTATTCCCCATTTGATAGATGAAGCATAGAAAGTAAACCCAATTTATTCAAGGTTCTGCAGCTAAGATACAGCAATGCTAAGACTCAAAGACAGTATAGCTCCAGAAACACCATTCTGTCCTATACACTGAACTGACTCACGATGAAGCATCCCTTACCTGATGCTGTTGTCCATCTACTAAATTCCAGTGTTAGCAGCTGGCTTTCATCATTTCCAAGGTGCAAATGAAGGAAAAAAATCAAACAACTGGCCGAGGCGGGTGGATAGCTCAAGGTCAGGAGTTCGAGACCAGCCTGACCAAGAGTGAGACCCCGTCTCTACTAAAAAAGAGAAAGAAATGATCTGGACAACTAAAAATATTATATATAGAAAAAATTATCCGGGCATGGTGGTGCGTGCCTGTAGTCCCAGCTACTCGGGAGGCTAAGGCAGTAGGATCTCCTGAGCCCAGGAGTTTGAGGTTGCTGTGAGCTAGGCTGACGCCACGGCACTCACTCTAGCCCGGGCAACAGAGTGAGACTCTGTCTCAAAAAAAAAAAAAAAAAAAAATAAACAACTAATAAAATTTACCTTTTGAATGGCCTCTTCCATATCCAACTCAAATTGTTCATCTTGTAATAATCTGAGGAATCTCTTGTGTTCAACATCGTTATCATTTTTATTCCGCACCATTTGATTCCTGATTTGACTGCTTATGTTTTGTAGTGCTTGGACATGCAATTTTCTGTGGTAGTTTTCATCTACCGATTTCTGATGCCTTTCACTAAAGCTCAAAGTTCTCCTTTTGGAAGCCTATAATGGGGAACAAAACAGCACGAATATTTCAATATTCCAAAATCTAATTTTTTGAATTATATTGATGTAAATCCCAGTAACAAATGATACAAAGGGTCTTTGGCTTCCTTCCTGAATCCAGAGTATACCTAATAAAGAGTAAAGTGGTAGACGAATATACTGATGTATCAATTAAATAGGTACTAATACCATTCCCTGTTTTATAGATGAGGCATGGAAAGTAAAACTAACTTAATCCAAGGTTCAGCAGCTAATAAATAGCAGTACTAGGATTCAAAGATATAAAATAGCACTCTATAGACCCAGCTTTTTACCACTACCCAGGTATTCCTTTTCTCACTCCACCCACAACCACCACCTGCTCCCTCCCCCAGGGCCAGAAAACGCTGCTCAGAAGCCGGTTAGATTTTCCTAATATAAACGTAATAAGTCAACCCGCTGCTACTTATTCATTCGCTCTCTCCTAGATTTCTATATCAACTAATTTGTTCAGAGGTTCTGTAGGGGCATATTTAAAGATGTATCTAATATACTATGGAGAAAATACAGAAAAGGCTGGAAACCACCGAAAGCATCCTTTAAATAATAGCACCTGAGGCCTCGAAAAGCAAATAAAAGTTCCGCACTTAATTCTCGGATTAGGCACTTCAAATTCTTTTGTTAGAAGCAGGCAAGCTCTAAACTATAATTAAATCAACAAATAGTTTCGAGTCCCCCGACTGGCTCACCATCCTAGGCGACGAAAAACGCCCCTCTCTGGCTCCAGTGGCCACCACCTCTCCAGGCAAACGCAGTCTCCAGCGGCGCGAAGTAGCGGCTCCCGGCTGCGCACGCTCTCGTGTTTACGCGGTGTCCCGGCAACGGACGCCGCGCGCCGCCGGCGGGACAAAGGCTAACCCGCGCAGGGCGTGGCCTCCCATTGGACGCGGAAAGCTCCAATCGGCATTGAGCTTCTTAGGCGCCTGTCAGGGGAGCTACTTCTATAGGCCTACACTAGAAAGGCGGGAAGTTCAGGATCCGGTGTCCTGACGCAAGCCCTTTGCAGTCGGCTGGGGAGCTGAAGATTTCCCTTCAGCGACTAACTCCGTGGTTTAGGTGGGTTTGGGAGCCAAGTTGAGGTCTGTGGAAACTAAGTACAGAGGAATACGCAAACTACTGTCCAATACATGGAGCTGAAGGCAATTTCCACTCAAGGAGCATCCTGCACTCTCAATGCCTGTTCTGCCAGGGCGGGTGACTTTTTGTCCTCAGCAGTAGGAGTCGCAGGTCACCGTCCCCCTTACTGGGTTACTGTGAGGTGCAGTGGGTTGCATGTACTTCCAGGAGCTTTCACCTGAACACTCGCAGAAGCTCTTGGTAAACTTTGGGAATGAAATGTATGAGCCACATAAATCTTACTCAGCTATGTGGTCCCGGTACCAATAAGACAGCAGATTAGATGATTATAGCGTTTTTCGTTCCTAGCATTTCTTTAGGATTCTTAGAATTTCCATCTTTCTAATTATATTATCCATCTGTTCTTGCATGTTGTCCACATTTTCCAGCCCTTAGCATAATAATCATAGTTATTTTAAATTTCCATCTAATAGTCCTCAAATGTGTCATATCTGAATTGGGTTCTGACACTTACTTTGTCTTTTGGACTATTTTTCTTGCCTTTTAGCAACTTGCCTTTAGCCTTGTTTTTTAATGAGAGTTGGACATGTCGTATTGGCTAATAGGAACTGAGCCCTTTAGTGTGAGGTTTATATTATAAGGCTAGGAGCTGGGCTGTGTTTAATGTTTGTTGTAGCTGTAGGTGGCAGAGGCTTCAAATTCCTCCAGTGTTTCTGTTTTTGACTACCTTTGTCTTTAGATTTCCCTAAGAATTCCTTGTCAGCTGTAATCTAGTTATATTGGAGCCCTGCTGGTGTGGTGGTAAAGTGTAGGAAAGGGGAAGTGTTCTACAATTTTATTATTAAATCTCAGCCTTTTAGTAAGGCTGTGACCTTTACAAGTGTTTCTTAGGTCCCCTCTTCCACTTAAGTGAGACAGGAGGGCTACAGGGAGCTGTACTGAAAGAAATGTCCTTACCCCAGGTGGGATAAGTTTCTGATAAAAATCTTTTCTTCTGTAAAGTAGGCTTTTATTATAAGAAGGCTCTGGATGTATTTCTCAAAGATTATTCTTCCCAACTCCACCATATGTCCCAGATGATCTTTCTTGATTCTTCACTGTGAGAGGCTGGTGGGATTCCTGGAAGTGTGGGGGTTCCCCTTAGAATGTGATTCCCCAGTAGTTTCTCTCAAGATAGGCCACACTCAGTCTCCAGCAGCTTCTCAAAGTCACAATTTAAGTGCTCCTACTAGTTTAGGGCTCCAGTGGCTTCTGCTGCAGGTAAGTAGGTCTTATCTGTGGTTCACTGGATTCTCATCTCTCTTCAGATTTCAGGGTGATGGTTTGTTCTGTGACCCTCAGTTCTATGACAGATCCAAGAACAGTCATTGATTTTTAGTTTGTTAAGCTTTTTTCTGGTTGTAAGAATGGGCGTGACAACTTCCAAACATTTTCCACGTCAGAACTGAAACTGGAAGTCCTATTTGTTATCATCTTTAAGCAGACATTGCTATAAAAGATGGACTTCAAATTAGAATAACACAAACTAAGGCAAGTTTTACCACTAACTACTTTTTTTAAAAAAAATTTAGTTTTGACAAGATTTCTCTAAACATAACATCTCTAAAATCAGTATATTTGACTAATTGATCTAATCCATTCTTATTCTTAAACTCTTCCATTTAAAATAGACTTTAGTGGCTAACTTGCCTATGAAATGAACCAGACCAACATTCAACAAAAACAAAACTGGAGGAATTTGAAGCCTCTGGCACTTACAGCTACAGCAAACATTAAACATAGCCCAGCTCCCAGCCATGTAATATAAAACCTCACACTTAAAGGGCTCAGTTCCTATTAGCCAATACATCAAGTCCAGCTCTCAATAAAAAAACAAGGCTAAAGGCAAGTTGCTAAAAGGCAAGAAAAATAGTCCAAAAGACAAAGTAAGCATTAGAACCTGATTCAGATATGACACATTTGAGGATTATTAGATGGAAATTTAAAATAACTATGATAAATATGCTAAGGACTGGAAAATGTGGACAAGATGCAAGAAAAAATGTACAATATAATTTGAAAGATGGAAATTTTAAGAATCCTAAAGAAATGCTAGAAATGAAAAATACTATAATAAATGAAGAATGCCTTCGATGGGCTTATCAGTAGATGGACAAGACTGAGGAACCAGTAAGCTTGAAGATATGTCCATAGAAACTTCCCAAACTGAAATGTAAAGAGATTAATATCAAATAAATAACCCTATTGGGCTTTTAGACCTCACCTTAGACTCGAATTCATTTCCTATATTAGAAGATAATTTTGGGGGCTAGGGTCAGGGGATTGTCAATGTTTCTGTTTTTTAGGGTCTTGTTATTAACTGAATTTCCACAAAAGTAAAGTTGATTGCAAGGTATTTACAATACAAAACATTTTTAGTCAAGGATCCAATGTTATTATACATTCATTTAATCTCCTGTTAGTCTAGCAACCTACCTCCATGGGAACTCTACAAAAAATATGGCTTATGCATAGCTTCTCATAAAGTAGACCCTAATTAAAATTTTTTCCTGGGATGTCACCAGAAATTTTTGTTTTGAACACTAATGTGTCCCAAGCATTTAAAGTAGTGCCAGACATATAGTAGGTGCTAAATAAATATTTTCTAAATAAACAGATGCTTGAAATAATATTACCATTATGCATATGGAGAAAGCTCTACCCACAGATTACTTTGGAGAAATCAATCATCAGTCCAGTTAAAGTTGTATCGATTTTATTTATATTTTCAAGGAACAAACTTTTGGCTTCATTAAGTTGTTTCTATTCTTTTTCTATTTCCAAGCCCATTGATTTCTACTTTCACTATCCTTATATGCTTTCTGCTTGCTTTGAATTTTTTTTTTTTGCTAGTTTCTTAAGGTGGAAGCTTACATTTTTATTTAAGACCATTCCTTTCAAATATAAACATACAGTATTATAAAGTTCCCTCTAAGCCCTGCTTTAGCTGCCTCCCACAGATTTTGATGTGTTATACTTCTGCATTCATTCAATTCAAAATATTCAGACTTCCTTGACCCATGAGTTATTTAGAAGTGTGTTGTTAACTTTCTAAATATTTCAGATTGTCTAGATGTCATTTTGTTATTGATTTCTAATTTAATTCCACTATAGTCAGAGAACATACTTTGTATGACTTCAATTCATTTAAATTTGTTGAAGTGTGTTTTATTGGCAGAACAGTCTATCCTGGTGAATAGTTCCATGTGCACTTGAAAATAATGTGTACTCCGGTGGTGTTGGATGGGGGTATTCTATAAATGTCAAAAAGGTTAAGTTAGTTTAGAATGCTATTCAGGTATTCTGTATCCTTATACTATTTCTATTTGTTTTATCAGTTTTTAAGAGGAGTATTAAGGTCATCAAGCGTAATTGTGGGTTTGCTTATTTCTATTTTCAGTTATATCTTTTTTTTTTTGCTGTTCTGTTGTTAGGCGTATACACCTCCACAATTATTATTCTATCCTGATAACATTTGACATTACCATTTTGAAATAACCCTCTTTATCCCTGGCAACATTCTTCATTCTGAAGCCTATTTGATATTATTATAGCCACTCCAGCTTTCTTTTAATTAGTTTGCTTAGTATATCTTTCTCCACATTTTTACTTTGAATCATATATGTCTTTATATTTAAAGTAGCTTTCCTGTAGATAGCATATGATTGGGTGTTGCTTTTTTAATTTGACAATCTCTGTCTTTTAATTAGTGTGTTTATGCCATTTACATTTAATGTCATTACTGACATGGATACAAATCTACATTTTGCTAGTTTTAAAATATTTGTTACATCTGTTCTTTGTCTATTTTCTCTTTTAAACTTTTTGATTTTTTCATGATTCTGTTTTATTTTTACTATTGGCTTATTTATGTGTCTTTATTTAATTTTTGAGTGGTTGCCCTAAGATTTACAATGTATATATTTAAATATTCAAGTAATGTAATTCTGCCTCATTAGTCATGTGTAAACCTTAAAACAGTATACTTCCAATTCCTTTCACTCATCTTTTGGGCTATAGTTATGCATTTTACTTTTGCATATGCTATAAATCCATAACCCATAGGTTTTTACATATGTTAGATTGTTTGATATTATCTCAAAACTCTCAAATATTCTGTTTTCCTCCAATCCTTTTATGTTTCAGTTTGGGTAATTTTTATTTAGATATCTTCAAATTCATTGACTCTTACCTCAGCTGTGTCAAGTCTTCTGATAAGCCTGTTAAAGTCATTCTTAATGTTCATCACTATTTTGTTTTATATCTAACATTTCTACTTAACTCTTTCTTAGTTTCTATCTTTTCTACTAAAATTAACCCTTTTCACATATATTTTCCACTTTTTCCATTAGAGCCTTTAATATATTAATCATAGTATTTAAAATTTTCTAATAGTTTTACCATCTGAATTATATGAATTATGTTCTATTGATTGCTTTGTCTTTTCATACTTTTTACAATGTTTTTTCTTACTTTTTTGTGGATCTCATAATTTTTGATTGAATGCCAGACATCATGTGTAAGATAGTAGAGACTGAAGTAAATTATATTTATGCCTGGAAATAAGCACACCTCTTCTTCTGCTAGACTATTAGTATAGGAGGTTGAGTCAATGTAGTCAGGAGTTGAGCTGCATTTGAACATCGTTGTTGCTATGTTTATTTTTCTTGCACCACTATCTTCAAAGTTCATTAGCATTGTCTTATGCT